TATTGTACAAGAGTCAACTTCCTGGGGAACTGGAGGGTGCTTAAATCTTGGTGGAATACTTGGGAGACATAAGAAGGGGCCTCACTGAATTCTTGAGGCATGACTGTCCAGGTATATTGTTGATTGGTCCAAGTTAAGGCAAGTAGATATTGGCTGTTGGGGTCTACAGGGATGTGAAAAAGGCTGAACAAAGGTTTACAACAGGGAACTGTTTGAAGTCAGATGGAACTTGTGACAAAATGGTGTTTGGGTTTGGAACAACTGGGAAACAAGGAATAACTACCTTGTTAATGGCTCTCCAGTCCTGGAAAAATCTCCTCCCATTAGGTTTCCAGACTGGTAAGATCGGCGTGTTACTGGGGATGGTACAGGGAATGATCAGCCCCTAGGCAATTATGTCTTCTACTATTGATGTGAGGCCTTGTATGATCTTAGGCCTTAATGGATACTAAGGCAGTTTGAAAAGGGGTTTACTTATGTCTATTTTAATTTTTATTCTCTGCAATTTTTATTCTCCCAATGTCAGCATTAGAAGTAGCCCACAGATTTTTGGGCATGTCAGTTAAATTAGAGACCCTTTGTTGTAATTCTTTCTCTTCTATGTCAAGGACAGATTGTAGGGAACATAAAAGATCAGGTTGAGTTTGGTCAGGAATTCTAAGGTGAGGTCTCCATTGGAGGCAAAACGTATTAGCCCTTTTAATTTAGAAAGGAGATGTCTACCTAATAGATTGACTGGGGCTGTATCGCATGGCAAAAAGTGATTTTTTCAATAAAAAGTCTCAAAGTCATTTGTACTGGTTGAGAAAGAAATTTTATCTGAACTTTATTAGATACCCCCACAATGGAAACTTTTTTTTCACTCTGACGGATTTGTTGTCCTATGAGAGTGGGGTTTAGAGTAGAAAATGTAGCGCTGTTATCTACCAGAATTTGTCAGAGTTTCCCGCTAATTTGCATTTTAGTTTCCCCTTGGCTGTTTAAGGGGATTACTGGTAGCAGTTTACTGGAGGGTCCCATGGAGCCTTGTCAGTGTGGGGAGGAGCCCATATGGGGGGGCCTTCCCTTGGGGGCATTCCACTGAATGTTGAGGAATTTTGAGGACAATTTTTTTGTGTCCCAATTGATTACAAATGAGACATCAACCCCCGGGCCAGCCTTTGAAGATGGACCCCTGGGGGGGTGTGATGTGGGAGGCCCAGGTGTTATTTTAGGTCTCTGGCTTTGTAGCTGTAAGTCCATTCGTTTGGCAGACCTTTGTTTATGATTTTGGTCTAAAGTCTTTTCGAAGTGGTCAGCTATGGTCACGAGTTTAGTGAGGCCAGTGCCTCTCATCCTGTTTTCTGCCCCTTCCATCAACCCACTATCTCAAGCGATAATTCATTTACAAATAGGGCAGCTAAAGCAGGTTAGGTGACCTCATTTATTTTATGGAATCTGGAATGCCATAGGAAGAGTGTTTCCAAACGGGCTTTAAAATCTGCCATGGATTCATCGTTCTTCTGTTTGCATGTTTGAATAATAGACCAATCAGTGTAGGCAGGGAAGACTCTAGGAATGGCTTTTAAAAGATCAGTTGCTATGGGCCGGCCCCCTGGCTTAGTGGTTGAGTGCGCGCGCTCCGCTACCTGCTGCCCAGGTTTGGATCCCGGGCACGCACCGACGCACCGCTTGTCCAGCCATGCTGAGGCGGCGTCCCACATATAGCAACTAGAAGGATGTGCAACTATGACATACAACTATCTACTGGGGCTTTGGGGAGAAAAAGGGAAGAAAAGGAGGAGGATCGGCAATAGATGTTAGCTCAGGGCCGATCTTCCTCAGCAAAAAGAGAAGGATTGGCATGGATATTAGCTCAGGGCTGATCTTCCTCAAAAAAAAAAAAAAAAAGATCAGTTGCTATATTGCAAGCTTTTTCTGGTCCATAAGAAGACCATGTTGGAGATTGAGGATCTCGAATATCATCCTCGGGGTTATACCATTCTGTTTCTCGCATTCATTTTTGGGCTTCCCCAGGTCCTATCAGCATATGCACAAGCTGATAAAGATCTGGCAGCCCAGGGTCATAGGTCCTGATAGGGATTCTAAACTCTTCAGAAAACTTTTGGGGATCTTCCATGGGTTTAGGAAATTCTTTAACTATGGCCCTTAGTTCAGTCTTTGACCAAGGAGTGAAAGATATTTGAGGAGGATCGCCTGCAAACTGCGTGGTTTTATTTTAAAAGATAGCTGTTTAATAATCTCTTCAGAGTGGAAAGGCAGTTCAGACAGAAAATTAGTGGAGCGTGAGTACTAAAGAAGGACAGGGGAGCAGTAGAAGTCACGTCAGTCTTACTGTCTTCTGTTTTAGGTACCTCTTGTGTCTTTAATTTTTCATTAGCCTTCTGTAACAAGTCTTTTAATGAAGCTATTTTGGAATCTTGAAGCCTTTTGGAAGCTCATGCATACCAATTAAAATAGATATCCCATTCTGTTCATTTAATTCAGAAATTCTTACTTTCAAGTGCATTTCTTAAATGAATGATCTTGTCTAATTGGAATGTTCCCCATAATGACCATTGTAGTTCTATGCTGTTTTTAGTACAATTTTGCCATTTTTGTAAATATTTATACCTTCTGGGACCACAGTTTTTAAACATAAAATAAGCAGGTGTGCCAGAAGGTGGTGCACTTGACTCTTTAGTGTTTAAGGATCCCATTAGCCAAGGCCTTAGGCTTCTTGGAGCTGAACTAATACCTAAAAGAGATGTGTCACTCAGTTGGGGATTGTGTGGTGTTTTACAGTGTACTTTGTTGCACGGAAATTTTCTTGAGGTTGGCAGGTAACCTAGTGTCAATCTAATCCATTCCATGACCAATTTATCCTAACACGAGAGTCTTTGAATTAGGTAGTGAGTGCTCTAACAGCCTTTAAATGTTTCACCTGTGCCCACCAATTTTTTTGTGTGGGCTTTTTTTCTTTTTGGCCTCTGAGATCCTCATCAGCAATAGCCTTTATCTGCACAAAACAGGACAAACATATGCACCTTAACACACTAGCAGTAACTAAAAGACATTACTGCGCACTAGCCAAGAGAAGCCCGTGTGCCCCACAAGCAATTCCCAGCGTGGACTAAACTAGCAAATCCCAGTGAAGAGGGACTGTGGACTGAGACGAGGGAAAGGATTAAACCAACAGCCCCCAGTAAATTGGGACTGCGGACTGAAACTGGGGAAAGAGATTCCAAACAAGTGGAGAATTGTGTACTGAACCAAGGACTAGGGACTCAGGTTCTGGATGGAACCATCTGCCAGCTCAAGCTGACCTGCTCCGCTAAGCCCCGGACTGGAAAGCCAATTAGATCGGGAGCTCAACACGAAGAGCGGAGCTCTGAACTGAGGGAACTTACCCACAGCCCTCGGAAACAGCGAGAAAGACAGTGAACTCAAAAAGCGGGTGTGGGTACCACACCTGTGTTTCTCATTGTCCCCAAAGCTGTTAAAAACCACCAAATCTGTAAAAAAACAAAATTCAGCTGAGTAAATTTTAAAGATCAAATTGGCTTTATTCAATGACTCACAAATCAGACAGCATGCCATCTAGCAAATAGAAAGGAGCTCCAAAGAGCTACAGAAAAGGGAAGGTTTTTAAAGTCAGAGAGGGGTGGGACAAAGGAAATTATTAGCAAAGAATGCATTGTTTCAAGCAAGGTTTCCATCCTAAGGGGAACGGAGGGGCCTAATGGGCAGATTATCTCACTAGTGCTGACCAGGTAATTCCGTGTTGACTGGTTAAAGGTCACATTCCTGGGAAGCTGAAACTGCAATTAGGCTAGGTATTAAATCTTGGTTTGCTAGATGCGGGGCTTGGCACAGGTGACTCCATTTGGGGTCTGCTGTCTGCTTTTTAACATAGCTATGAACATATTCAATCAAACTAACATCCAGAAGTAGAAGGAGAAGGGGTGCCATGTTTCCTTGTAAGAATAGTTTTTGGTAAAAATGTAAAAGGTACTCATGATGCTTTCTAATGAATTCTGAAAGGCCTCTCTCCCAGCACTGTGCCAACCCTGGGCAAAGGAGCTAGCCAGCCAACCAGCTAAGAACTGGGCTTCTGTGACCACCTCTCCCTTCCTTTCCGCCTCCGACCACTTCCGCTGGCATGCCTCAAATACGACTGAGTTCAACCAGCCCAAATATGACTAAAGCAGAAAGGCAACTGCAATTTTTAGTTCTCTTACATTATTCCGTCAAACTCAGAAATTTATCCTCATAACAGACTTTAATTTAGTGCATAGTTCATAGTTATTTGGGAGAGCTCAACTACTCCCTGAAAAATTGATAAGTCTATTTGAAGCCCCTTCTCAGGGTTAAGAATGATTCCTCTCATATGAGTGAACATGAGTTGTCCTCTCTCCTTTATCTACCCAACACTGACTCTTCCACCTCAAGAGGAGAGCTTGGTAAATAGAAAATAAAACATTCTGATCGTACACATGGTTGGTTACGCCTCTTGAGAATGACAAGTGTCAGCTGGCTGCCACACGCTGAAAGCTCTTTTTTTCACCTGAATTACATGGAACAAGAAGATTCTCTCATCATTTCTATTCTTTTTACTATTTGCTAATTAGAAAAAAATACCAACTTTCTCTCTCCACACTTCAATATATGTACTGTTAACATTTAAGGGATAATATAAACATATTTACTCCAAATCAACAGAAAAGTAGGCAGAACAGGGACTTGAAATGCTTAATACACATTTGAAAATATGCTTCAGTCTCCCTCACCAATAATCTGAGAACTATAAGTTTTGAAAACTGCACTGTACGTTTTCTTGCGTTATATTTGTAAAGATTGACCCAGCCGTTACTCTTCAGTACAGGGAAGTGTGGAGGAAGGGTGTGGAGTTGTCCTCTTTATCTTGTGGACAGACTTAGGGTATGCCTATTATTTGATCCACCTCGGGCTATTCTTACTGCATTTCAAGATGATTGTTGTGTTGTTCTTGTCGCCTGCAGAACTATTCTCTCCTCGACATGAGGCCACCACCACCTGCGATGATCACTTTAAACAATTCCGTGTACTGGCAGGAATTTGAGGATACCTGTGCCTATGAGTGTCTGGACGGCAAAGACTGTCAAAGCTTCTTCTGCTGCTATGAAGAATGCAAATCAGGATCATGGAGAAAAGGGCGTATTCACATAGACATCTTGGAGCTGGACTCGTATTCCCGGGTCTTTTTCCCTACATCATTCCTGCTCTTCAACTTGGTCTATTGGGTCGGATATCTGTATCTCTAAATGTTGTTCCTGATGAGTGAAAAGCTAAGGGTTCCCCTCTTTACCTTCTGCCCTCCCAAGACCAGTAGTGACCAATTGGAGTAGCAAGGAAGGACACTGTTAAGTTTATCTGAAGTTATATTAGCTTTGAGCAGCGCAGGAGTACGTGGCAAATATTTCTATCATGTATTTCACACTCACACGTGCGCGCACACACAAACACACAAGTTAATTGAGTTTTAAAGTGATATTCTTGCTAATCCCTTACTGAATCTGTAACTTGGTGATGTTTATGAGTGGTTTTTGGATATTGGAAGCAGCTGCCCATTTTCCTTGCAAAGAAATCTATAAAACATGCAAGCAAATATCTGAGAAGCTCTCTCAGGCCCAGACCCCTTCTGTATCTTCCTTTGCAGCCCTTGGCAGCACCAGTGCCCGTGTGTGCAGAGTCATTGCCCAGGTGTGCAGTGTCCCAGACTCTTTCATACTGACCTCAGCCCCGGGGTCCTGGGCAGCCTGAGTTCAAGCGTGAACTGCAGTTTAGATTCAGTTTCCTCTCGCTGTGGCCTCTTTTGCTGTGGCACCACGGTCGTTAGCTAGCATTCCTTTATCTGATGACCTCACCCTAGGCTCCAGAGGATGTATATGCATCATCCACAAGTTTCCAGTTGAGGAAAAACTATGATTTTCAAAATTCTTGCGTTGGTGAAGTCAACACTGTTGGTTATCTCTGAATATCAGGAGGTTATTACTTTATTCCAAACTGCTGGAAGTCGGTAGCATTTGAACATTGGGTTCTTGGACTAGTTCAGCTTGAGTTCAACATTTTACCTTAAGAGTTGTGTTTTACTCGACCAAGGTGCAACCCCAAAGTATGTTATATTATTATGGGTTCAATGGTTATCCTCATCTTGCAAAGAAAGGTATAGAGCATTCACAAGCCTTTGTCTTGAAAATATTTTCCAGAGTGTGAAAGAAATGTAGATAGAGTTTTAAAATTTCTTAGTGACTATTAACTTTCAAGTCAAATCAACTTTAGATGCAAAAAAAATGGGTAATGGCTATCATATCATGATATATTTTGATGAACAAAAATTATTTTATACTTTGAAATATGAATACATAGCAAAATCCCAAAGAAAAAAATTCCCTGAAATTATTACTCTTTTGATATTTTTATAACACAAAACCAACTTGCTTCTTGATGTTAGTTCTTTGTTATAACTGGATGCCAGTGTGTACTTCACAAGACTCTTCAGAAGCTTCCCACCATTGATAGGAAAAAAAAAAGTCCTACTAATTGGTTAATAATGCTTTGGCATTATTAAAATTTTGGTACTAAAATTTTGGTACCAGAATCTCTGTGCTGCTCATCTTTCTCAACCAAAAAATTGAATTAATTTTACTGGAAACCATAAAATTTTATTTTAATTATCTATTGTACATATTATTATTACTCAGAAAAAAGGTAAAACATTACACAGAGATAGTATATAAAAGTGCTGATTTTACACAATTTACTGGATGCAGACCAGACACAGATGGAGATGGGAATGGAATAGGCCAAAAAGTTGAAATCAGATGAGTCTGTTTATTTTTATGAGCATCATTACTAATCAAGTGTATGCAAACATATTGATACACGATCACCCAGTTTTCAAGGACTGAGTCTATATAGTGTGAGACATTCAAGCCCATTGCTTTTCTTCCTGTCAACTCCTTGCTTTTGATTTGATGGTTGCTACATAGGCCACAAGCCAATTGGCTTCTGTTTAGCAAATTCAGTTTTAAAAATAAAATAATGATAAATATTTGTGGCGAAACAGGTCGAACCTATTGGCTTAAAGGAGAATTTCACCTAGTAGCAGCCTTGTTTTGTCTCTCATGCATAAACCACTTCCCGGGCTTGGCGGAGTCAGTCTGGAGGCACCCTGACCAAAGGAATCCCACCACATCGCACCAGAGCACTGAGCACCCAGGGAAGGCGGCCCAAGGTCGGTCATCTTCAAACACAATTTCCAACTTCATGAATTTATAATTTCTAAGAATATGAAGAATGTCAACATGTTATGTCTTAAAAGAAGTTCTGGAGGGAACTGAATTTTTTAGTGAAATTCTTCTTGGGAGGAAAATAACCTAAAAACATTTTTATAACATAGATTTGGTCCAATTTTACCTTAAAATTTTTTTACTGATGCCTCTTGTTTCAAAGCCACTAAATATTTGGGTGTCCTTGACAACTCTCATGAAATTATATATATAGGATGTATATAGCTATAACCTGTTTTCTGAATCCAACCTTTCTCTTCTCTTCAACCTCAGTTGTCCTGCTGACCTAAACACACTAGTTCATGGCTCCCTTTCCATGAAGGAGAACCTTCACTCAACAGAGTCTAATAGATGTTCACTCCTAGAGCATAAAATAGATTCCTGCACCTAGAGCAATCTCCCCACCATGGGGTCTGACTAAATGAAACTAAAGCATCCCCAAGAGCATGCCAATGCCTGTTTCTCTGCAGGCTTACCTATTCATCTTCTCTTTATCGATCAGCTCATGAGATGAGCCTTTTCAGCCCACAATAGAGGAGAGTCCTGTGCACCTCACACAAGTGCAGAGCTCAGGGGCTTGTTAAGTATGTCTGAGTTTACTTTTTGGAGGACTGAAGGGGAGGAGCACCGAGAGAGTGTGAGGGAAATGCATCACTCTTTAATCGAAGGACTCTCTTTTGCCAGTATGTTTGGTTAGTAGGCATATGTGTGGGGCACACTGTGTGAGACTGTTCCACACAGACCCTGCACCCTAATAGCTCTGCCCAGCTTACTTTGCATGTAGAATTAGGAAATACTTTTGGTGATTGTGTGGCAGCTGTGGGGAAGTTGTCTGAGTGACCTGCATTCCAAAGGTGCTACTGTGTTCCTCACTTTCAGAAATAACTTTAAATTGAGGATATGACAGTTCTGCATTTTGGCAAGGATTCCAAATTTCTGACCACTGTGGATCATACGTACAACTGTGACTATCTCTCTTTTAAGCTGCATCAAGGTGGAAAGAGAGAGAGAAGAAAAGGCATTTCACCTTAATGGAATTAGAGGGAAAGGCCTCTTCATAGCCTAGAAAGTTTCAGTTTCTGCAAAGTCTCACCACCACCGACCAGAACAGAGACTCAGATACTGGACCTAGAAGGATGATGTTACTATAATTTACTCTGGACCCAGCCAATACTGCCCCAAATTTAACCAACATATGCCTTAAAACAACACATAAAGCTCAAATAATACACATCTTGTATGTTTTCCATTTCCTGTGATCAGCTATATTTCATGCTAGGTTTTATTTATCTTTTATGAATTGATGAAGACAGAATTTCATTTCTTTCCATGCCAAACAGTCTTATCCTTAATTTTATATCAAATTAGTTAAGGACAAAGTTTTTATGGATTCTTCAATTGAGGAAATGCTTGTCCTTGATAGCAAAGCATTTCCAGGCTACACATGGGAAACTGGGGCCAATCTAAAAGTCAGCGACATAGTGCTTGTGACAGGATGTGAGTGTCCACCTAGAACCTTCACACCGAGTCATTTTACCTGGCCATAGCTTGTTGCTATAAAAGTATTTAGGCATATGTTTTGCTGCTCTGCAAAATATCACACTCTGAAAGCAAAAGGGGGTAATTGATAACCACATTTTGCACTGACGAATACTTGCCACAGCTGGGAAGCAACTGGCACTCTTTACCTAAAGGGCTAGAAAACAAGCCAAACCAAACCTCTTCTTCCTTGATCATTTTTATCTTGGCTGCCAGTAACTGAAAACTTTCTGTGATTTCCTTTGCAGACTTGAAAAATTATAACTGATCTCCAACCATTTTACTTATATATGCTTATATATGTCCGATCAATGCTCTCAAGACACAAAACATTTTGAATTCTCTCCATTATCTTGCAACTGTCTGAGTGCTTTTTCTGAGTTTATAAACTATATGCATATGAAATTTCATCTTCAATTTCTATAAAAAAAATTTGTGAATGACTTGGGATAAACATAATTGGATGTAAATATACATTGAAATGTTTACTATCAGTCTTGGGCTTCAGAAGACTATCAATTTTAAAATATTCAGAAAGGTGTCTGGAAACAAGGGGGAAAGAACCAGATAGTAAATACATTGTAAATGTGAAATTCACAATTTCCTGTTGGGCCCCCTTCAAATTGCCCAAAACTGAGGAAGTGTGTAATCTGTTCATAGTTTTTTCTCAAATTTACTTGTAGGAAACATTCAGGTCCACACAGTTTAGCAGTACTTCCACATTGTATAATCACATCCAAAAAAACAAAAAATAACAATTCAGGCTAAATGACAGACCCCTTCTTGTATTCTTTGTTGACTTACTTTTTACTATAAAAATAGATTTCTATCATTATAGGGAGAAAACATGTATGTGTTGAGATAATTGGATAACAACTCAGCCATTCATATCTCTGGAAGAATAAAAACTTGCCTTTTTTTTTAATGTCTGACAGTTCTGCAGACTAGAGATAGGACATTTCTACTCTTCCTTTTAAAATTTCTTCTGATAACAAGTTAGCAATGCCAGGATATAAGCCTAGTCTAGTTCTATTAAGGTCAAAAGGGAGAATATTTCCTACTTTTTTTTCAAAATGTCCTCAGTTAAATGATGTTTTGGTTTTTAATGCTGTCTATGAAACACCTTAAATCTCTTATTACTCTGCTCACATAAAAACCAAATTTTAGACCAGTTTAAATCAGTCCTAAAAAATTAGTTGAACAGTCACTAACAAGTTTTCAATGTTTTGAGTTAACCAATTGGGTTTTTCAGATCGTATCATATAGGAACATCGCTAGAAAATAGTTAGCAAGATGTGACACATGAGCACGCACACAGGTGCGCGCACACACACTTGTGCACCCCCATATGCACAGAAGGCAAATACTGTTTGAATTCAGGTAATTGAGGGAAATATAAATTGTTTGCTTGAATTATTCAGAAATCACTACTTTCACCACTTCGTTTGTTGCATTTGTACACACAACACAAAGATTTCCCAGCCCAGTGGGCGGGCTCCACAGCGTGA